AGCATTAATCCAGCAGGAGATTTCCCCTCCCCCAGCCACCCACCAGCCCAGGTCAACTCCATTGGTAAAAATGTGGAGCTGTCACCAAGTCTACCACCACATCCCCTTGCCTCCATCTTCCTGTCATGTCTTAAGTCCACGAGTTCTCTCCATCCCAGCCACCCTTGCCATAGCTCAGCTCCGGGTTAGGTCCCACCTGGGTCACCAGTCTCTGCTCTCCTCACTGCTGAATTCGCTGATGACATCACCACCAGTGTGACACCTAACAGCATCACCATCACCTGCTTAAAACCCTTTCATCCTTTCTCATTGGCTTACAGACAGATTTTAAAACAGCTTCATTGAATATCTTCATTAAGATATAATGCACATATCACAGAGTCCACTCTTGAAAAGTGCACAATTCAGGTCGGGTGCAGTGGCTCACACCTGTAATTTCAGCACTTTGGAAAACCTAGGTGGGTGGATCACTTGAGACAAGGAATTGGAGACCAGCCTGGGCAACATGGGGAAACCCCGTCTCTACAAAAAATACAAAAGTTAGCCGGGCGTGGTCATGCACGCAGGTAGTCCCGGCTTCTCAGGTGGCTGAGGTGGAAGGATGGCGTGAACTCGGGAGTCTAGGCTATTGTGAGCTGAGATCATACCATTGTTGAGCCTGGGTGACAAAGAGAGACACTGTCTCAAAAAATAAAGTATACAATTCTGTTGTCTTTATTGTAGTCACTCGGTTGTGCAATCATCACCATTAGCTAATTCTACATTTTCATCACTTCAGAAAAGAAACCCTTCATCCATTAGCACTCACTCCCCAACCTTCCTCCCCCCAACCCCAGGCAGCCACTAATGCACTTCTTCCTCTATGGGTTTGCCTATTCTGCGTATTTTATATGAGTGGAATTACACAATATGCAGTCTTTTGTGTCTGGTGTCTTTCATTTAACACAATGTTTTCAAGGCTGATCTGCACTGTAAAATGTATCTGTATTTTATTATTTGTCAAGGCTGATTGGCATTTCATTGCGTTGCTATGCCACATTTTGTTTATCCATTCCTCAGTTGGTGAACATAGTGGTTGCTTCTGCTTTTTGGCAATTATGAATTGTGCTGCTATGAACACTTGTGTACAGGTTTTTGTGTGGGCCTGTTTGCGTTTGTTTTGTGTAACTAGCTAGGAGTGGAGTTTCTGGGTCCTGTCGTGTTTAAGGATTCATTTCAATGCCTTACTGTGAGGCCAGGGCTCTGCTCATTCAGGGTCGGCCACACCCTATCCCAGACTCCACTCCTCTCTTGCCAGAGCAGACGACTGCAACACTCAGAACATACCACACCTGACACTTCCTGCCATCCACCCCCACAGCATGGCCTACCTCTCTCTAGCCTCTGCACCTGGATAACTCCTTCAAACCTCAGTTCAGGCATCACCGCTAACTGGGGATTCTCCAGTGAACAAAAAACATCCCTGCTCTTATGGAACTCATGTTAGAGAGAGGTGAAATAGGTAAAAAGAAATAAAACTATATATTAACAGGCATACATGTTATGTACACAACTATTTACTAAAAATTTAAGCATCCCTTTCCACGGTGTAGAATTGTTGCTGTCCCAACAGGAACAAAGTTTATATCCAGCCTTCTTTCTATCCAGATGTGACCACGTGATGAATTCTTGCTGGTGGGATGGAAGTAGAGAGATATGCGTCACTTCTGGGATTGGGCTTTTAAGAAGTGGGTGGGTTTTGGCCATACTCTTTCTTCCTCTCTGCAATTTGGGTGCAGGAAACTTTGAGGCACTAGGGATGGCGGGTCCGCAGGATAGAAGGAGCCTGAGTGCCTGAATCACCACGTGGAAGAGAGCCATGTGCTGACCAGGAGCACCACAGCAGGCTGAGGGAGGACGAGGATCCAACTTGTCTTAGGCCACCGAAGGGTGAGATCCTTTCTGAAGGGAGCTAGTGTTTCCCTCATACATTCGAAAATGAAAGGATTTTTCCATCAGCTATAGTCAGACATAATTCATCTTTTCTGGAACAGAAAAGTGGATGTGTACTTTTACTTGCTTCCTGCTTTGGTGCCTTTTGTGTAAGGGTCCTCTAAGTCAACCCTGAAAAATTTTCCACCCAAAAATATTCTCCAACCAGGCGCAGTGGTTCATGTCTATAATCCCAGCACTTTGGGAGGTTGAGGTAGGTGGATAGTTGAGCTCAGGAGTTCAAGACCAGCTTGAGCAACATGGCAAAACCCTGTCTCTACAAAAAAATAAAAAAATACAAAAATTAGCTGGGTGTGGTAGTGCACATCTGTAGCCCCAGCTACTGGGAAGGCTGAGATGAGAGGATTGCTTGAACCCAGGTGGTTGAGGCTGCAGTGAACTGTGATGGTACCACTGCGCTCCAGCCTGGGCAACAGAGTGATACCCTGTCTCAAAATAAATAAATAAAATAAATAAATAAATAAATAAATAAAAATTCTCCAGGCACCCTCAGCAGAGCCAGCCAATTGAGAGGAAGCATGGATTTTTGGGAAGGGGAGAGAAACGGAGGATCTGCCTTTTATAGTAATGATCCCTTCCCACTGGTTTCCAAGTCACCTCACCTAAACAGATACAATTTATTCATGCAACTCTTCACAGGCAGAGGCACATTTTCTCTACCAGAGTTTTGGAGATGAGCTCTCAAACCCTGTGACAGCAGAGCCCCCAGGTGAATGAAAACATGGCCTGTGCCCTAGGCCTCCTGTTCTTCCCTCAAAGCCCATCTCTGCACAGTGCACATGCTCAACTCGCTGAGCAGAAAAAACAGTGACGATCCCAGGTGGAGACCCAGGAGGGGGTTACATCTCACTCAAGAGCACAGCATCCCCACTCTCACCTTAACTAGCTCTGCTCTCCTCAAATTCTCTCCTCACAACCCCTTTCCCTCCTCTTTATTCCCTCTTCCCCTCCCCTTCCCTGACCCCCTGTTCATCTCTGCCTCTGAACTCAGGAAGTTGCCTCTGCCCAGTGTGGGACGCCCCTCTTCTGGGTCTCTCACTCCTTTTTTCTTATACAAAGCATCAGTATTTCCATTTTACCGCCTTAATCCTAGTTACACAAATTAACTTTCTGTGGAGCCACCCTTAAACAAAGTAGAGCAGGGGTGTTATAAATATCCGTAAGGTTGTTTATCTTAGCTGGAACTCAAAAAATACCTGTTTTTTCTTTCTTTCTTTCTGCCTTTTACATGCCCAAAATATCTGCCACAGTATAAACATTCCACACATCCTTGTCAAATGCAACCAAACATCCTTGGAAATATATTGGAAACACATTGAATATACCAAAAGAAGTCACAATTTAAGGTGGAGTTATGATGGTGACTAGTATCTTACTCAGTTGCATGAAAGAGTTTAAGTCGATTCAACCAAGGATGCAGAAGGAAAGAGCTGCTTTGCACCAGGCGATGGCATCTAACAGATACTAACAGGTGTTCTGGCTTGTCGCTGGGCGATTGTGGTTTCACATTTAAGTTTACTGGCCACCGACACCTGCGATTTTGCATATTCTTGCTCAGACCACAAAAATCTTTATTACAACGTTTGAGTACCCTGGAGTGGATAACTCTAAACTGACCCAAACACTGTCCTTCCATCTTCAAGGTGAGTCCAGTCTTTTAAGTGTTTTAAATTCTGTAGACATGAGATGTGTGATGCATTGCAACCTCTGACTCCTGAGTTCAAGTGATTCTCCTGCCTCAGCCTCCCAAGTAGCCAGGATTACAGGTGCCACTACACCTGACTAATTTTTGTATTTTTAGTAGAGAAGGGGTTTCACCATGTTGGCTAGGCTGGTCTCGAACTCCTAACCTCAGGTGATCCACCTCCCTCAACCTCCCAGAGTGCTGGGATTACAGGTGTGAGCCACCGCACTTGGCCTAAATTATTATTATTTTTTAAGAGACAGTGTCTTGCTCTTTCACCCAGGCTGGAGTGCAGTGGTGCAATCATAGCTCACTGCAGCCTTGAAATCTTGGGCTCAAGTGATCCTCCTGCCACGGCCCCTCATCAGTTATAGCCAACCTTTATTGAGCATTATGATGTGGCAGCGCTGTCTGTCCCAAGCACTTTGCGATTTTATCTCACAATATCCACACCACTGTCCTATGAGGTAGCTACTATTCTTGTCCCTATTTTACCAAGAGGGAACCTGAGGGACTCATTTGTCTAAGGTTACTTGGTAAGTAAAAATTAGGAGGCAGGCTTCCAGGCCTATCGGACTCTAAAGACCTGCACTCTTAACCTCCATGTTTCTCAGCAGAAGGTAGAACACTTGACTTTTATGAGTGACACAAGTATAAAGCTGGCATGCAAGTCATTACTCTGGCACATCTCTGGGCCCCCAGCAGTGTGGCTGCGCTGGTTCAGGGCCTTTGTTGAACGTTCACGTCTGCTTTGCAGGTGGCTTGAAAAGGAGGATGAAGAGGAAGGGAAGGAAGAGCAGAAGTTCATTGCTTTTGGGCTGCATTTAGTGCATTCCAAGGCAATTAGTGAATGCTCTTTTTTGTGTTTCAGATGAATGGTGGCCCCTTCAGTGATGATAGAATCCACAAGTCTCCCGTTCAGAAGGAACTAACAACATGTAGTTCAGGCTTCTGCCTCCAGGAAAGTTTGGAGAGATGACCCCCCAGACCTGTTTCTTCATCACTATGAAGGGGTTGGGGGAGCAGGCAGACCAATGGCCTTGAGGCCTGTATTAGTCCATTTTCATACTGTTATGAAGAAATACCTGAGACTGGGTAATTTATGAAGAAAAGAGGTTTAATTGACTCACAGTTTCACATTGCCTGGGAGGCCTCACAATCCTGGCGGAAGGCAAAGGAGGGGTAAAGCCCAAGGCAAGAGAGTATGCGTAGGGAACTGCCCGTTATAAAACCATCAGATCTCATGAGACTCATTCACTACCATGAGAACATCACAGGAAAAACCTGCCCCCATGATTCAATTACTTCCCACCAGGTCCCTCCCATGACATCTGGGGATTATGGGAGCTACAGTTCAAGATAAGGTTTGGGTGGGGACACAGCCAAAGCATATCAAGGCCTTTTCTGGATTGGCTTAAAAGGCCAGGAGAGACATCAGCCTCCGGTATTCCTGTGTAGAGGAAAGGCAAGGATGCCCTCTTCTCCCTAGAATGATGTCCATTACTTGATGACCTTTCGAGGTGATCTCTGGCTGCAGCCTCTCCTCTGGAAGAGGTAGGTAGGAGAAATGCTTGAAGTGCTGGGGATTTGGGGGCTGGGTTTCAACAGAGCTGTTGAGAAGGTAACTAGGAACCAGAGCTGTCCATTAGGTTTTGTTGAGCCACTATGGAAAACAGTGTGGAGATTCCTTAAAGAACTAAAAGTAGAACTACTTTTGATCCAACAATTTCATTACTGGGTAACTACCCAGAGGAAGAGAAGTAAGTATCCAAAAATATACTGCATACACATGTTTATAGCAGCACAATTTGCAATTGCAAAAATATGTAACCAACCCAACATGCCCATCAATCAGCAAGTGGATAAAGAAACTGTGAGAGAGAGATATATATATGTATATGTATATGTGTGTGTATATATATATATATATACACACACACACACACACACACACACATATGTGATGGAATACTACTCAGCCATAAAAAGGAATGAGTTAATGGCATTCGCAGCAACCTGGATGGAATTGGAGACTATTATTCTAAGTGAGGCAACTCAGGAATGGAAAACCAAGCATCATACATTCTCACTCATAAGTGGGATATAAGCCAAGAGGATGCAAAGGCATAAGAATGACACAATGGACTTTGGGAACTCAGGGGAAAGGGTGAGAAGGGGGTGAGGGATAAAAGACTACAAATAAGGTGCAGTGTATGCTGCATTGGGTGATGGAGGCACCAAAATCTCACAAATCACCACCAAAGAACTTACTCATCTAACCAAAAACTACCTGTTCCCCAATAACCTATGGAAATTTAAAAAAAAAAAAGGTTTTGGTTGAGGAATCTTCTCGTGGTAAATTAACTTTCACCTCCCATGTTTGTATTTTTATTTGTTTTTACTTCTTTACTGGTTGTGATAGATTGATTTATTGGCCCTGATTCTTCACTCCTGTATTCACACCTCTACCCACATGACTTTGCAGTTCCTCCCACTAGAGGCAGGTCTTACTTGTTCCTCAGCTTTGGGTCACCCTGTGACTTCTTGGATCAATGGGCTGTTAACAGACATGCAAGCAGGACATAATATGTGTTTGAATGATTAGGCGTATTTTTTCAGGCCTTTGCCATCATCATGAGAAAAACATGCCAAGCTTGCCCACTGGCCCAAGGAGAATAAGGGGTATGTGGAGAAGATCTGATCCCAATTTGCAGCTTAGAACTGTTCAACTAAGCTCAGCCTGTATCAGATGGCCTCTAGCCAATAAACAGATGCATGAGCAAAATGCATTCTTGTTAGGAAGTGCCACTGAAAATTTTGTGGTTGTTTGTTATGTTGCTATGGCTGACTGATAAATTAGTAAACATTCCTTTTGATGCACTCCAACGTTCTCTTTGCTGAATTTATAAGTAAAAGCATTTCCCAAACCTTGGTTAGGATATCTGCTGAAATCAAGATGTTCCTAAGTCTAGGAGGCCATCTCCAAATCCTGGGGAGGTCTGCTGCAAGTCTAGAAAGAAAGAAGGATTTAGGAAATGCTAATCAATCTGGGGAATACAAATCTGTTCTTACACTTTGAATAGTTTTTGTTGTAAAGTGAATGCTTCCATATTATCTTCAGGTTAAGACTGTAGAATGTTTAACTCCGATGAGATAAACTGAGGCTGCTTGGGACAGAATTTTTGGACCTGCCTGGAATTTGTGCAATCCAAAATGGAGACCATGAAGGCTCTCTGTGAACCGCAAGACTAGAAAGAATGACGCCCTTTCTCCTGCTTCCAGGAAGGGCCATATTTTTACACATAGTATTTTTGTTCTGACTATGACAAAAATACATACACATTTTGGAAAGTACAGAAAATAATAAAGAAAATGAAAATCATCTACAATTTTACTACCCAAAGATGATTACGATTGGCATTTGACATTTTCCCTGAGTGTATAAAAAAATGCGTTTTATCCTGCCTTTTAAAAAATGCATAGCATTATATCTGAAGAATTCTTTCATGTTGTTAAAGGCTCTTTGTAAACATCAGTTTCAATGAATGATACTATTTCAGAGATGGTTTTCCTGTTATTTGAGCTACCAGTTCCCTAATGTTAGGAATTTAGTTATTTCCAGTGTTTCACAGTGTAAATAATACTGAATTAAGTATTTATACACACATTTTTGTTACTTATTTATTTTTAAGGCAAGGTTTTGTTTTGTCACCCAGGCTGGAGTGCAGTGGTGCAATCACACCTCACTGTAGCCTTGAATTCCCGGCTCAAGCAATCCTCTCCCCTCAGCCTCCCTAGTAGCTGGGACTACAAACCTGCACCACCAAGCTTGGATAGCTTTTTATTTTTATTTTTAGTAAAGATGAGGTCTCACTATGTTGCCCAAGCTGGTATCAAACTCCTGATCTCAAGCTCCTCTCATCTTGGCCTCCCAACGTGCTGGGATTGGAGGTTTAAGCCACTGCAGCTGGCCCTGGCCTGTTAATGTTTATTGTTATTTTAGAATATATTCCTAGATGTATCAAATAAATATATATATGTGTGTGTATATATATCTATATATACATATATATGTATATGTGTATATATGTATATATATGTATATGTGTGTACATATATGCGTGTGTATATATCTATATATGTATATGTGTATATGTGTGTGTGTATATATATGTGTGTATATATATGTATATATGTGTGTGTGTATATATGCATATATATGTATATGTGTGTATATATGTGTGTGTGTGTGTGTGTATATCTATACACACACACACACACACATATATATATACACGCACATATATATGTATATATTAGTCTGTTTTCACACTGCTTATAAAAACATACCTGAGGCTGGGCATGGTGGCTCATGCCTGTAATCCCAGCACTTTGGGAGGCCGAAGTGGGTGGATCATGAGGTCAGGAGATCAAGACCATCCTGACCAACATGATGAAACCCTGTCTCTACTAAAAACACAAAAATAAAAAATTAGCTGTATGTGATGGCACGTGCCAGTAAGCCCAGCTACTTGGGAGGCTGAGGCAGGAGAATTGCTTGAACCAGGGAGTTGGAGGTTACAGCAAGCTGAGATTGTGCCACTGCACTCTAGCCCAGCAAAAAACCTAAAAAGCAAAAAAAAAAAAAAAAAAACCTGACGGGGCAATTTACAAAAGAAAGAGGTTTATTGGATTTACAGTTCTGCATGGCTGGGGAGGCCTCACAACCATGGCAGAAGGCAAGGAGGAGCAAGTCACATCTTACATGAATGGCAGCAGGCAAAGAGAGAGCTTGTGCAGAGAAATTCTCATTTTAAAAATCATCAGATCTCATGAGACATATTTACTATCAGGAGAACAATATGGGAAAGACCTGCCTCTGTGGTTCAGTCATATCCCACCAGGTCCCTTCTACAACACATGGGAATTATGGGAACTTCAAGATGAGATTTGGGTGGGGACACAGAGCCAAACCATATCATTCTGCCCCTAGCCTCTCCCAAATCTCATATTTTCACATTTCAAAACCAATCATGCCTTCCCAATAGTCCCCCAAAGTCTCAACTAATTTCAGCGTTAACTCAAAAGTCCACAGTCCAAAGTCTCATCTGAGACAAGGCAAGTCCCTTCTGCCTATAAGCCTGTCAAATCAAAACAAGTTAGTTACTTCCTGGATACAGTGGGGGTACAGGCATTGGGTAAATACAGCCATTTAAAATAGGAGGAATTGACAAAAACACAAAGGCTACATGCCCCATGGAATCCGAAATATAGCAGGGCAGTCAAATAAAGCTCCAAAAAGATCTCTTTTGACTCCATGTCTCACATCCAGGTCACACTGATATAAGAGGTGGTTTCCCATGGCCTTGGGCAGCTTCATCCCTGGGGATGGTGAAGTGAGTGCAGGAATCCTCTGCACGGGGACAGACACTGTGATGCCTTCCATGAGGTGAGCGGGGGCTGCAGTGTGGTCAGATGGAGAGGGAGCTCGAGACGCTGTCATGTCATGAGCAGGCTGAGGAGGCTGCAGGCCAATGGGCTGAGACAGCAGACTGCATCTGGTGGGTAACAGGATGGGCTGGTGGAGAAATCCATGAGGCTTGAAGGGCCTGCCATGGCTCTGGCTGCTTTGTGAGGAAAGTAGTCCCAATTGTTCCCCATCTCAATCGCAGGCAAGGTGGAGTTTGTTAGTGTCAGCATGTTAGCATGTTGGCAGAACCCAGCCCTGCTACCTGAGACCCAGATGGTTCCAGCAGGCATCACAATGTGGGTCAAGGCAATGGGCCAGGTGAGGGGGCGCTCAGGCTCCAAGGTGGCTTGGCAAGACTGCTGCTCAGAGGTGCCCCATGGTGACCAAAACAACCCAGCCAATCCCAGCCCTCTTTATGTGAAGGGCAGGCTGCGTAAGCTCCAGGACTGTCTGCAGTACCAGGGAAAGACATTCCTGGGTCTCTGTGAAGCCCACTCCATACACCAGTGGAGCAGACATTTTTGCGCCTACCTCCCATGGATGTATCCATTTCTTCTTTGCCAACACAACCCTGATTTAGTTCTGGTCTGTACCCTTTGTCCAAGAGCTAAATGCTTCAGGAACACTGGCTTTGAGGGTGGGGGGAGGGGTGGGTAAGTCCCAGTTGGTGTCCAAACTCATCAAAGAGCTCCGATACTGCCTGCCAGTGATTGCGTGAAGCATGGACATCTGGTATAATTCTGGCCAACAAGCCAGATGTGAGGGGAAGTTCTGGTGTGTAGGGGCGGGGAAGAGAGGGATCGGTGTTCTGAGAAAGGTTTCCTCACTCTCAATAAGAGACACAAAGAGGAAATGGCTCCTTTTTCTGAGTCTTGGCAATGGTGTGCCCAGATGTGACACCTGGAACGTTGGCAGCCACCTTGTGACTGAGAGAGCAGTGAGATGAGCAGAAGGAAATGATGGGAAGAACCATGGTCCTCTCCATGTCACTGAGTCACCCAAAAGAACAAGCTTGGAGCCTCCTGCCTTTGGACTTCTAGTCGTGTGTAAGCAGTTGATGTAGGCTTTTCTTGCTACTTGAGATCACGGAATCACTTGGTATGAGATCTGTGACCTGAGGGACTGCAGCCCATGAGCCATCCCAGTTCTCCCTCTGGGTCCTGTGAATTCATGCCTGAGATCTCTGGATTAGTTCCCTGTTAATTTGCCAACAATTTAGTGGTTTAAACCAACGCAAATTTATTCTTTTACCATTCTGGAGGTCAGAAGTTTAAAATCAAGGTGTTGGCAAGGCCACTTTCCTTCTGAAGTCTCCTGGAGAATCCTGTTTCTTGTCTTTTCCAGATTCTAGAGCCCCCCAGCTTTGCCCTCTTGTAAGGACATTGTGATTGCATTGGGCTCGCCTAGATCCTCTAGGATCATCTCCTTATCTTGAGATCTGTAACATAATCCCATCTGCAAAGCCCCTTCTACCATGTAATGCAGCATATTCACAGGTTCTAGTGACTAGGGCATGGACATCTGTGGGAGGGAATTATTCAGCCTAACAGCCTCCCTCATCCAAAGTGGTCCATGTGTCCCCCTCCAGGTTCCACGGAGGCTGGTGTTTCCTGTGGCTTCCTCTCTATGGCACCACTTGCATGGACCCCAGCCTCACAGTCCACCCGGTGCTTCCCACCAATCAACTCGGGCCTAGTGTCTACTCCTTGTGGGAGAGGAGAACCTGGGATTGAGGGCGGGGGGAGAGAGAGTGAGAGAGGGGGATTGTGGTTGCAGAATGAACTGTAGCTACTTCAAAGTGGAGAGAAATAATGGCCTTGTATTTTCTCAATAGCAGCAAAGCTGAAAAGGATGTTGTCAGAGGTCTACCAGATGGCTTCAATGAAGTTCGGGGTGTCCTTATGTACTCATTGCTTTGTGGACCCTCCTCAGCATCAGAGTCCCTGCATCAGATTCATTCCATCTGGGTGCCTTGACATCTATCAGGGCATATGAGCATCAGAGTTGGATAGGAAAACCAATAGGCCACTGACCTATTTCTTATCCATTCTGGACATTGGCTAGACTTGTGCCGGGGAGAATTCAGAGTTGCAGGGTCAGCTTTTGGGAGCTTTCCAGTCGTTTTTCTACTTTATATCACATGCTGGGCTTCAGGCTGGGCCAAAGAGGCCCATATGTGGATCCCGGGTGCATTTTGCACACCACATCCCAGACTGCATCTCTGCATGACCGTCTGCCTTCTGCCTTTGCATTGGTTGTAAAGTAGGGTCACCTTGACTGTAGAAGGAGGGGGTGGGGGCAGTCTCTAAAGCCCTGCAGCTCTCCAACAGTACAGCTGGCGGCCGGGACACTAAAGAGAAATGTTTGACATCAGAAACAATGAGGACAGAGCATTCTAGGGACTGTCATCACTCCCAACTCCAGAAAGGGATGTGGCAGGGAGTGGACTGAGTTGGCTTTGGGTGGCCACCTCCCACAGCCTGGCAAGGGATATGTTGTTCTGGCCTCTTAGGCATCAAAGGACCTCATGGTAACTCCAACTTGCTCCCACCCCACCACCCCTGCCATCTGTCCCCATGGGTGGGAAGATGTCCTAGCTTCGGAACAGACCAGGCTCACCAGGAGAAGTTAATTCATGATGCAAGAGATGATAAACAGCAACACAAATCTTGCTTGGAGAGTAAGCCACTTCTTAGAGAGCAGAGCTAAGACATCCTTTTGTTGTCTAGATTCTAGGGATGGTAGCTTCTCACCCTTCGCTTTGATGAGTCCTTTGAGAACTATAAACCTCCAAAGAATGCTTTGTTTAGTGGTGGAAAGAGGAAGAACTGAAAGGAGGAAATAGGGGCCTTTGTCCTCTAAAGAGTAAGCAACATGGATGATGACATCAACGGCCAATGTGGACGTGACACCAGCACTGGCACCAGCAGCCCTGAGTTGGCAGAATCTGGCTAAATGTAAATTCTTCTGCCACATTGGGAGTACCTCTTGCCCTCACTGGGCCTCACTCTCCCAGGGAGATTACATCTATGTCCTTACCCAAAGGAAGTTGTGGCACATCCATGGAATAAGGCTGGGGCTAGAAGGCTCCTTGGAAAGGATGGTGGATCTGAGAACCCGATGCTCACAGGAGAGGGTGAAGCACAGTCTCTTGCTATGTAGCCTTCGCTGTCTCTGACCTCGAAAGTCAGCATGAGTCTTCTCAGCAGACCACATGTGTAATTAGCATGAGAGCCTTCTGGAAAGGCACCAGGCTTCTCAGACACAGCCATACATGAATGAAAAGACCCACAATCTGGAGGCCCAGGGGACGGAGGAGGAGGCTGTTGGCGTTGGGTTTGGGTATTTGTCAGGGTCTTGGTTACAAATCCCTTCTGGGCTAGTCTGCTCAGTGGCTTTGGGTGTCTGTGCCAAGGTAGCAGGGGGGCCCACTGGGGAGTCCCCGGATCTGCAGGGTCTGATTCATCCTGTGTCAGTCCAGGGAGATGACAGATGGGTCTGATTTTTGGGCAAAGAATTACAAACCAGTGGTAATGAGAGACAAGCCTCTCCTAGATGCTTTGGGGATCTTCTCAGCATGTGCTCCTCCTACGTCTTTGTCTCCTTTCCCATACTCAGCAGCAAGGCAACCCACAGGCTCCAAGCAGTCCCTGGGGAAGGAGGCTGGTGGTGAGGAAGAGATGGTTTTCCATGGAGCTAGGATACAGTGGGGAGCAGCACGCACATCCATATGGGGATGCTGAGGTCACTATGGCTAGAAAGTTGGCCAACTTCTTATTATCTGAAAGGTATCAAGACTCAGAGTGTGACCACTCAAGGCCATTCTGCCCACACTGGCCATTGGCCAGGACCACTGCATACTTGACATAGCCAAGAGAAGCAGACTTTGGGGGTAAGATGGCGTAAAGGAATCCCCTCATTAGCCAAGAAAATGCAAGATCCTTTTATCAGTCAGGGTTTATAGCTGCAAGCAAAGGCAGCTGCCCCTGGCTGGTGAAGCAGAGACATTTTATTAACAAGACTGTGGGTGGCTCATAGTGTCCCTTGAGCCCTGGGGCACGTGGTTTGGAATTTGCACAACCAGGTAGAGCCCCCTAACTTCTGCCACTGAACCAGTCTGGGGAAGACATATTTGCTTTGCTTAAGGGCCCACTGCCAACACTCCAATCCTGGGTGCTGACTGGAGCCAGAGCCCCTGCCCCTAGAAAATGGATGTCCTGCCACCGTGATCATCGCTGCCTGTGGCCAGGACACATGCTGTGTAGGGAGACCTGCTGCTTCTTGTAAGGGACAGAGCCAGGCCACTTACCTTGCCTACCTGCCACAGGGGCTGGAGAAGCCAATGTTTGGCACTTTTGATTGTTATAGTAACAGGCCACATTGCAGGGGCACAAACATAGAAGGCAACACAGGTTTCTGGCGACCAAACAGATGACAGTGGTCCCCTACAAAGCATTAATTGATAGGAACTGACTACAGGGCATCTGACTCTGCTCCTTCTTGGAAATGGCCTTTTAATGCTAATGCACCAGACTCACCTCTGCTGAGGGTGGCAGGCACTTAAGCTCAGTCACCTGTTCCTGAATATTAGATGTTCTGTGTAAACACACCAACCAGTAAATAATTCCTGTTATTTTATTTTTTCAGCTTTATTGAAGTATAATTGTATAGATGATAGATTCAATATATACAATTGAATCTATACAATAAAATTCAAGGTGTACAATATAATGATTTGATGTACATATACATTGTGAAATGATGACCACAATCAAATTAGTTAACTCATTTATCACCTTAGTAATTGTGTGTGTGTGTGTGTGTTGAAAACATTTAAGGTCTATTTTCAGCAAATTTCAAGTAAAGAATTGCTGTACATTGGGATCTATTGTTCCTGTTAGTATAACTTCTCTGTTATTATACATGGAAAAAGTTATAAGGCACACATCCACCAATCAGCTTCCCAAATGTAATTAGATGTAGTGAAACATTTATATATGTAATAAACTATCACATTAGGATGTAAAATACTAAGCTGGGTGCAGTGGCTAATGCCTATAATTCCAGCACTTTGGGAGGTTGAGGCAGGCAGGCCACTTGAGGTCAGGAGTTTGGGATCAGCCTGGTTAATATGGTGAAACCCCATCACTATCAAAAATAGTAAAATTAGCCGGGTGTGGTGGTGTATGCCTATAATTCCAGTTACTTGGGAGGCTGAGGCAGGAGAATTGCTTGAACCCAGGAGACAGAGGTTGCAGTGAGCCAAGATTGAGCACTCCAACCTGGGTGATAGAGTGAGACTCTGTCTCAAAAAAAAAAGGGTTGTGAAATACTTAAAACATAGCTTAAAACACTGTGGTTGTTAATGGCTGCTCTGTATGAAGTGGCATTGTAATGCCTCTCAACACCAGCAGCTTGGAAAACCCTCATCCCCTTTGCTGATGTTCACCATGCTTTACACAACCTTCCGGGTGTGATTCTGGTGTTCTGTTAAGTGCAATTGCAATGTTTCTCAAGACTTTATAGACACATTGTTTTGTTTAAAATGTAGTGTTGTGTTTTAGGGATATAAATATACATTTGCCTTAGATAAATTCTGGCCAAAAAACATTTTTGAGAGAGATACCTATGTTTTTGAAGTTTGCATATTAAAAACCAAGCGGCATCCTACAATGGGGATATTAACCAGGAAGATGTTTTCTGGGGAAGGTCTTGATTTGAAGAATATCTCCTGAATGCCAAGGACTTTCCACATTTTAGCACTAATGCCCACATTAACCTTAACCCCATTTTACAGGGTGTGAGCATTGAAGGCAAACAAATGTGGGTGTGAAACCTAAAGCATCAGTGATTAGCTGTGTGCTGTGCTGGCCACTTTACCCTTCCCCATCTCAGGCTTCTCAGCTTTCGGACAGGGGTGATGACATTTTCATCAGAAGATTCTGGTGAGGGCTTTTTAACTTTTTTTTTTCAGGGCAGTTGTGTTGGTGGCACATTGGATATTTCTAACATGTACAAACTTATGTATTTTGATTTACTTTTATTTCTATGTATATATGCTTCTCTTAAAATGCCAAGAGCTTTCTCTTGCTATCATTGCTCCTTTTGAAACGATTCGATTTTCAAGTCTACTGTCGATTGTAATGTTAAAGATTGAGTCACTGACTGAAATTCAAGACTTAAGTCCGAAACAGTCAAATTGAACCCTCAAAAAAGAAAAAGAAAGAAAGAAAGAAAGAAAGAAAGAAAGAAAGAAAGAAAGAAAGAAAGAAAGAAAAAGACAGACTGCGTATCGGAAATCAATACTGTGGAAATGAACTATATTTGCCATTATGAATAATGCCCAATATAAGAATATGCTTCTGGAATTCAGGACTACTACCTTTAAGTACCAATGATACTTATTTTTCAAAAATGTATTTTTAAAAACTGAGTACAATTTTATTGAATCCTGATAGTCCCTGCCCCCACCCCATGAAGTCGGAACTATTATTCTTCTCATTTTGCATGCAGAGGAACTGAAACACACAGAGGGTAAGGAATTTGCTTGACATCACAATTAGTAAAAGTCAGAGCTAGGATTCAAATCAGTACTAAACCCATCGACTTGACCATCTTAGAGCTGCTTACTTTCAATACCTTCATAAAACTCACAAAAATATCCTTATTAATGTTTTGGCTTTATATTACACTGTACATTGACGTTTTTGAAAAATACAGATCCCTCTCATCAAAAAAAATTTTTAAATAGGACTTCCTCCTTTTGGTTTTGCCTGATGTTTTCACAAGATGAGGTTCAGGTTGCTTGTGCCCTGCTGGAATACGACTTGGTTAGGTGTGTCCTTCTCAGGGCATCACATCTGGAGGCACACAGCATCTGCCCATGCCTCCTTGGTGATGGTAATTTTGATCACCTTGTCAAGGTGCTGTTTGATTTCTCCCCTGTATAATCAAATCGTTATTCCCTCTCTCTTCCTTGTAAATAAAGTGTGGTCTGTGGGGAGACACTTTAAGACCAGGCAAATATCCTGTTCCTCATCAAAATTTACCTCTATATTTAGCATCTACTGATGATTTGTCCCTGACCCAATCTTTACTAAGATGGCTGGAACTTGGTGCTTTTCCAACTCCATCCGACACTCCCTCCACACTGACCTGTCAACCCTTGGTCTTGTGCTGGAAGAAAGACCCTCCTTCTCCTCACCCATCTACTTACTTGTCTGTTGATGATCAGTATGGACTCATGACTTTCTTCTTTTAATGGCTAGTAACTCCATACTGTACTACTTTAGGTGCTGAGATTGCATTTCTTTTGAGAGTCTTGCTCTGTAGCCAGGCTGGAGTGCAATGGTGCAATCTTGGCTCACTGCAACCAACCCCTCCCGGGTTCAAGCGATTCTCCTGCCTTGGCCTCCCAAGCAACTGGGATTACAGGCACATGCTGCCACGCCTGGCTAATTTTTTGTATTTTTAGTAGAGACAGCGTTTCACTGTGCTCCTCAGGCTGGTCTCAAACTCCTGAGCTCAGGCAATCCACTCGCCTCAGCATCTCAAAATGCTGGGATTATAGGCCTGAGCCACCATGCCCAACCAGGATTGCATTTTTGTCATCTTCTCTTAGCTGTCTCATGGACATTTCACACTTAACTTGTCCGAAGCAAAACTCTTGATTTCCCTCCCCAAACTAATCTCCCACCTGACCTTGGTCTTTCCCATCCTGGGAAGTCATTATCATCCACCCAGTGGCTCAAGCCAGAGATCTGGGTGTCATCCTTAGTCCTCCCTTTCCCTCAGGCCCTCACCT